TAAGGAAAGTTGGTATACATGACTCTGCAAAAGAATTGTGGGAAAAGCTTGATAGTCTGTATACTGATACCTCCTTACCAGGCAAACTATTTTTACTTGAAAAATTTTTCCGGTTCAGGCTTGTTCTTACTAAGGATATTGATGAAAATTTGGATATTTTTAACAAACTTGTTCAAAACATCAAACAGGCTGGTGACAAACACATTGATGACTACACCCCAATTATTTTGCTCAATGTCATTCCTGATTCTTACAATGATGTCAAATCTGCCATCAAGTATGATAGAGATGATGTTACTTTAGATATTGTGGTTAATGGTTTAAAAAGTAAAGAACTTGATTCGAAACAAAATAGGGGTCATGGCAATCAGTCTGGTGATTCTGGTGAGGCCTTGTTTGTGAGGGGTAGGTCTAAGAATAGATCTAAAAACTCCAAGAAGGAAAATCAAGATAGAAATAGTCAGAAGCCTAGTAAGAAGAGAGGTAAATCTAAGAAAAGGGTCTGTTACAATTGTGGTAAGTCTGACCATTTCATTAAGGACTGTCCCAGTCCTAAAAAGTCTGACCAGGCCAACTCTGTTGTCTCTAATGATATACATGATGATTTATGGTGTATGACTTTGCAAATTCTGTGCTAAGTGGCTTAACTGAAAATGAATGGCTTATTGACTCTGGCTGCACTTATCATATGACTCCTTTTAAATCCCTATTTTTTTCCTATGATCTCTGTGATGATGGCTATGTGTCTTTAGCTGATAGTAAGAAATACAAGGTGCATGGGGTGGGGAATATATGTTTAAGGTTTGATAATGGGACTGTGTACACTGTGAAAAATGTGAGGCATGTTCCGGATCTGTGTCATAACTTGTTTTCAGTTGCTGCTTTTGAGGATAGTGGGTTAGAGGGAAAATGGGGTAATGGTTGCATGAAGGTTTTGAAAAATTCCTTGGTTATGTTCAAAGCTTTGAAGGTGAATAATCTGTATGTGTGCCATGCTGTTCCATTCTCTGATTCTGCTAATGTTGTTTGTCCTGATAACTGTGTTGTGGCATAATAGGCTAGGTCATATGAGTAATAAGGGTCTAGAAATCATGCATAAATCTGGTTACTTTGGTAAAGATTGTGTGTCTACTGTGCCTTTCTGTGAAGCATGTGTGCTTGGTAAGCAGCATAGGGTCAGTTTCCCTAGTTCCTCTTACCCAAACCTGTCTAAGTGTACCTCTGCCTTAGAATATATCCATGCTGATGTATGGGGCCCTGCTAGTATCTCTACCCATGGTGGTAAGAGATACTTCCTGTCTATTATAGATGATTTCTCTAGGAAAGTTTGGGTTTGTCTCTTACAGAATAAGTCTGATGTTGTTGAGAGGTTTAGGGAGTGGAAAACCCTAGTTGAAACCCAGTCTGATCTTAAGGTTAAAGCCCTTAGAACTGATAATGGCCTAGAATTCTGTAATAGGGAGATGAATCAACTGTGTGTTGACTGGGGAATAAAAAGGCACAAAACTGTGCCCTATACTCCCCAGCAGAATGGTGTTGTTGAGCGTATGAATAGAACCTTGCTTAATAAAGTAAGAAGTCTCCTGGCCACCTCTGATCTGTCTAAGCAATTCTGGGGTGAAGCAGTTAACACTGCTGCCTATTTGGTAAATAGGTCCCCCTCTGTTCCTTTAGGAGGAAAGTGCCCTGAGTCAGTTTACTCTGGAAAACCCCTAGACTTGTCCATCCTTAGAGTGTTTGGTTGCGCTGCCTATGTTCATCAGCAGCTAGATAAGCTAGATCCTAGGTCTAAGAAGTGTGTCTTTCTAGGGTATCCTGAGGGGGTAAAAGGTTATAGGCTGTGGGATAAAAATCAGGTGGGTTTTAAGGTAGTGATCAGTAGGGATGTAATTTTCAATGAGTCTGAATTCCCCTGTCTGTCTAGTCCTACCTCAAAACTAAGTTCTGAGAGTGTTCAGTCTGAGGTGGAGTCTACTCCTGCTGCTACCATTCCATTGTTTGACAATATTAATGATTCTGATGCTAACTTGCATGGTACCACCCCTTCTAGTGGGGTGGAGTCTTCTCATGATTCTGATTTACATGATAATACTGAACAACATGATTCTATGGAGCATGATATACCTGATTTGCATAACTATCAACTTGTTAGAGATAGGAGTAGAAGGACTGTTAAAAAGGTGTCTGATTCTATATCTGATTATGCTTTTCATGTGCATGATACCTCACTGTTTGCTTACTCTGTGTTTGAGACCCTTGAGTTAAATGAGCCCAAAACCTATAAGGAAGCCCTTACTTTTAAGGAGTCCCAGAAGTGGCTTGATGCCATGAATAGTGAGATGGAGTCTCTTAGAGTTAACAAAACCTGGACTTTGGTCCCTAGACCTCCCAATTGTTCTATTGTATAGTGCAAGTGGTGGTTTAAGGTCAAGGAAGAACCTCAGAGTGTGAGATTTAAGGCTAGGTTAGTGGCAAAAGGGTTTACTAAAAAAGAGGGGATAGATTATGCTGAAATTTTTGCTCCTGTGGTTAAGTTTACTACTGTTAGGATCATGCCTTCTTTGGTTGCTCACTTTAATTGGGAAATGAAACAGATGGATGTGACCACTTCTTTTCTGCATGGTGATCTTGATAAAAAGATCTATATGACCCAACCTGAAGGGTTTGTGGATCCCAAGAAAAGTGATTATGTGTGTTTGCTAAGGAAGGCCTTATATGGTTTAAAGTAGTCTCCTAGGCAATGGAATATTAAGTTTGATCAATGCATGAAATCTATGAAATTTGTTAAATCTGCTTGTGATCATTGCTTATATTATAAGGATACCTCATCTGTGCCTGTATTCTTATTACTTTATGTGGATGATATGTTAATTATCAGTCCTAACCTTGATTCCATTGTTCATGTGCAAAAGTGCCTTTGTGAAATTTTTTCCATGAAAAACCTAGGGGATGCCAAGAGGATCCTAGGCATCAATAGCATTAGGGATAGAAGCAAGTCTACTCTTCTGTTAAACCAAGTCTCTTATGTAGAGAAGGTTTTGAGTAAATTCAACATGCAATCTGCTTCCCCTGTGAATGTTCCTTTAGCATCACATTTTGTGCTAAGTAAGGATCAGTCCCCCAAGACTGATTCTGAAATAAGTGATATGAAATCTGTTCCTTATTCCAGTGCTATAGGATTTGTTATGTACCTTATGGTCAGTACTAGGCCTGACATTGCTTATGTTGTTAGTTGCTTGAGTCATTATATGTCAAATCCTGGTATGCCTCACTGGAATGTTCTGAAATGGCTTTTGAGATATCTTAAATCAACTGTGAATCATGGTTTGTTTTTTGCTAAGTGTTCTGATGGTACTGTGTTGCGTGGATATGTGGATTCTAACTACGCTAATGATAGGGATAATAGGAAGTCCACCACTTCTTATGTGTTTACTTTGTGTGGGTCCTGTATCAGTTGGAAGTCCCAGTTGCAACCCATTGTTGCCTTGTCCACCACTGAGTCTGAATATGTTGCTGCCACTGAAGCCTTTAAGAAAGCTATTTGGCGTAAAAGGCTTGTCAGTGATTTAGGTTTTCTTAAACAAAGAATTACAGTTTTTTCAGACAGTCAGTCTGCCATACAGCTTTGCAAGAACCCTGTGTTTCATTACAGGACCAAGCACATTGATGTCAGGTTCCATTTCATCCGAGAAATTGTAGTGGCAGATGATATCATGCTGGAGAAGATCCCATCAGAGTTCAACCCTGCTGATATGGGGACAAAGTGCCTTTCTGTTGAGAAGTTACTTTCTTGTAAACGAACATTAAATCTGGACTGTGGATAGATATTGTTTGTTTTTGCAGGTGGTTTGGTCCTTGAAGTGTTATTTGCACTCCTGGACCTTGCTCTGAGAACACAGTGTTCTCTGGGCATCTGGTTTGTCCCTTTGATCCTTTCTTGGGATCAGGAGAGTGTGCATCACACTTTTCAATTTGTGTTTCTGGGTCCTGTGTGACCCAGGGAGTGTCTTTTGGACCTAAGATATCCTTGGATGTCTTGGGCAACCAGCGATGATGAGTCTTTCCCATGCCACATTTTTGCTCTACACCACATAGGACCAATAAGGTGGAGAATGTGAGAGGTATTGGCCCTGTGGGCCTTGGCCTTCTTCTCCAATTATTTCCGGGACTTGGGCCTATATCAATTGATTACCTCCCAGCCCATTTGCTTCCTTTCTTTACCCACTCCTTTGTGTTCGGCCCCTTTATCCTCCGTGACCTACTTACCTTGTTGGACTTTCTTTGACCCGCCTATTTAATCCATTGATCTGTCTTTGCCCGGTGAGTGAGCCGCATATCTGTAACCCTAGTTCTAGAGCCTCTGTTTAGAGAGAGAGGGTCTGGCTTCTCTCTAGCATTTCTCCTTCTTCCGCACCTCTCTTCATCTCCTTCGTGTGTGTGTGTGCTCTGTATGCTCTAGGGAGAGGATTGAGAGGGTAGCTGGGTTTGGGGTTTGGGTTCTGGTACCTTGGTGGTGGTTCCCGGTCCGGTAGGTCCTTTTGTGGTGGTTGTGAGTTGTTTCAGAACCTTCAGGTTCGTGTGGCTGGAGACCTGAGCTGGAAGATCTATCAGCCTTACACTCGCTGTTCTTGTTCCGGTTTTTGTTCGTTCTTTCAATTCCAAATTATTTATTTATTTTTATATTTAAAGTTTATTTAATTTTTTAAAAATAGAGTAGGTAATACGTAATAAGAAACAAGGTTATTCAAATGAAAGAGCTCTAAACAATATTAGTATAATTAATAATTATTATTTCTATAACTAAGTACAATAATAAATAGATAGCTATTAATTGAGTAGTTTTTTAAATAAATAATTGATAATTTGTTATGGTCAATAGAAGCTATGGGGGTAATTGAAGAAAATCAACATTTTCCCTGCTACAATTAAAACACGGTTGTCACAAGAGAAAAACTCTATTCTAGATAAATGTATGTGATTACTTGAAAGAGGAGAAGACATGATTTAAAAAAAGTTCTATTCTAGATAAATGTATGTGATTACTTGAAAGAGGAGAAGACATGATTAAAAAAAGAGGGGAAGACATAGCCCAGTGGTATAGAAGTTCAACATACAATAATGGTGTGTAATTAGAATCTGTATAGGCCATGTTTGTTAAATGACGTTTCAGTCAATTTTTGGCTGGTTTGACCGAATTCAGCGTTTTCTGTCGGTCAAAACGCTAAATTTAGGTGTTTGGTAGATGGCGTTTTCATCCAGCTTTTTCATCTGAATCGCTAAAAAACGAAAAGCTGCAAAGTGCAGCGTTTAAGATCAGCGGGTTCTACACACGCAATTAATTTTCGATCTTACCCTCCCTTTTCTCCACTTTCGCACCTTACCGTTCTTCTTCAGGTAAATTATCCCAAGCTTCTGCAGACCTTCCCTCTTTTAAACAAAATCTCTTCCTTACCTTTTCTCACCCAGATACAACGCCGACTCCTCCCCTGGCAGATGGGTTGATCCGACCCGAGAAAGATCATCTTCTCCGCCAAGATGCGCCTGACTTTGATGCTCATGGAAGAGCTCTGTGAATACTCTGTGCGGGCCATTCTTACTGTCGTTGTGGTGTTTGAGTTCTAATAGGTAAATTCCTCTTCATTTTCACTCTTGTAATTTTATACGGATTATTTTCTCCGTTTGTGTGGATGAGTTGGGATGTATGGTTTCAGAATTGTGCATCAATTTACTCATGATTATTATAAATAATCATTAAGTATTGGGTTTTATTGCCCGATTTCAGTTTGGCTATCTATATACACAAAATTGGATTAATGTCCTTTTGTCTTTTTATCTATTAACCGCTAAAATAAAACAACTAAGTTACCAAACATCTTCCTGCAACCCGCCAAATTAATCCGTTGGACTGGTCAAACCCGCTGACTCAATCCGCTATTTACAACCCATAATCAATATATATATGGTGTATTGCTGTTTATTAATTATGTTCTTTTTGTTGGAAAAATGTGTTCAAATTGCATTAAATGAGCAATTTCGGAGAGAATTTTGAGTGGGCCCAACATCCGATTTGGGTTGAGTCAAAGTGGTTTTGGGTTCCACTTATTAAATGCTTCGATTCTATATATGGTACCCTCAAAATGGATAATGAGTGAATGATAAATTGATTCTCGAAGTTCCCTCGTTCAAATTGAGTGAACTACGGAAATGATGGGTTTCTAGTGTGACTTATGCCACACCGGAAAACCCAAAAGATTTTCATCCCCTTATAAAGGTGACCCTCTTTGAAGGATTTAAGATTCTTTGGTGAAAAGGCTCTCTTCACGCGCGGGGGTGGGCCAATCAAATATCTGAAAATGGAAAAGAAAAATCACGACTTGCGTGCGCGGGCCCCAACTTGAACTCTTTGGTGTTGTACTATTCTTGAGAAAAAACATTTTCTTAACTTCTATTTAGATGTAATAGAAACGAAGTTACAAGAATTGTAAGTTAGAGGGTATCATTGAACCCAAATTTTAACTTTCTAAGTTTTTTGCTCCAAAATTTAGGAGAACATATTTGCTCTCGCGCTAATAGTGGGAGGGTACTTATGTCCCTTTTTGCATTTTCACTACAATGAATTGTTGTCGCTTTCTCTGTCAAGCTATTTTTTTTATACCTATTTTGATGCTTTCATTGAGAGTTATTTCTCACTATCTCAGTAGGAATTTGAAGAGAAAAATGGAATGAACATCAAGACATGAGTGAGATTTCTTTCACACCGAGCACTCTAGATTGCCAAAAAGCCACCACGTGAGGAGCCAGGTGGTGATGTTGTCGGGCGATCTATGGAACCAACTGTCAAATCCTGGAAACCTGAGAGGGGCACTTAACCACAGCTGCAAAGGAAAATTTGCTCGTGATCGGCTTGGAGGTAAACCACACCGATCATACTATGTGCATGAACCCGACACAACTTGATGCTAGAGTGCAGGCGCTCCTTGAAGCCACCCGTGCTCTAGAGGTTTTGGCTCAAGGGTTCCATAGGTTGATGCCGCAAGAAGAGATGCACAAGAAATCGAGCCACGCCACTCCTGTGGACATGGAGACGTCCTCTGGACCACATGAAGGGAAACATACCAGCACTGACGGATCACACAAGGATCGGAGCATGTGTCCTGATGAGTTGACCAATCACAGCAACCGAGAAGGAGGGCCAACCAACAACACTCTCCATGCGAAGAAGAGATCAATTCTTCTCACCGCTCCCATCGACCGAGTGGTTCAGTATGGACAAAACACTATATATCATGTTACCTTTCATCTATGTTAATGATTGGGTATGAAGATGTCATATGATACAAAGGATACATTGCTACGCTAGACGGCTCATCTCGGTTATGGTACAATATTATACATTGCTTGACAGAAGCATGGCATATATGGCCAAGCATTTCCTCCTGAGGGTTTCTAACTCTCGGGATGTTAAGAAGAATTGTAGCCATCTGTTCAACCTGAAGCAGGAAAGAAGGAAGCTTTGTCAGGTTTTTGAAAAGGTGGAGAACCGAGTCCATTAGGGTTCAAGTCCTTGACGATAAGACCATAGTGACCATGTTGATCAATTTCACCTTCTCGGGTGAGCTCCATAAGGATTTCTTAGGAAATCCACCCAATATGTACGAGGATTCCTTAGCCACTAAGCTATTTATGACGATGGGCGGCGATATGGCATACTTACGACAAACCTTTATGAAAGTTTTAATAATGTGTTAAAGGAATGTCACACTTTACCTATCACCTCACTCATAACCGTGACGTTCAATAAAGTCGTCAATCTCTTTGTGGATCGACATAACATTGGACTTATGTGGCAGCAAACTAGTTTCTTATATCCACAAAACATTTGGAAGGAGGTTCTAAAGCGGTCTCTACGTAGGAAACACAATAATGTTATCGTGCACAACCAGATTTAGTGTGTGGCCTTACGTGGACATGAACCAGTCAAGGTGGAACTGTTGCATTGCGAATGTGACCACTGGAAGCAAATGAGATGTCATGTGTTCACGCATATCCATTTGTCATTTCATCGGAACGTACGCTACAAATATTATACTGACTCATGATGTTAGTGTCATGCCAGATAATGTCTACATAACTACATTACCGCCCAAGAACTGTAGATTCGCTCCAAGTGATGGACTGCAAAGAACAAGATATCAAAATGAAATGGTTTTGCATCGAATGAGGAGAGAGCAAGAGTAGTTATTTCTGTTTGAATTAATAATATGTGTTTTACTTTTATCTGTATTAGATTTGTCTACTTAAAGTTTATATTGCCATTCATATCTACATATTGGGCCTTTAATCAGAAATAATTTAATTAGATAAAATTCAATCAGATAATATTTTTGTAGTTAAAATGTAATTCGATAATATTCGATCTGATAAAATTTAATCAAATGAAATTTAATAACATAAAATTTCAATTAGATACTCCATTGGTCCCATTATAGGATTCCCACTTTCCTTTTTGGGGCGTCCCATTTAAAAGTTCTAATTTTTATTTTAGAAAGCAATTAATAATCGTAAATGACAATTTAATCGTCAAGTATTAAAAATAATACATCTATACATCACAATTATCATCAATGACCATATTATATTATATAACCATCACATTTTTTTGTCAAAATATACTCAAATTACCATATTTAATTGTTATCTAATAAATGTGTCATTCTGCAATGAGAACCTTTGAACCAAACGATGATAGTGATATTTAATAGATAAAATTTAAACAAATATAATTTAATGAAATAAAATATAATCAGAAAATATTTAATGTGATAAAATTTAATGAGAAAATTCAATCAGATACTTTGTAATATTTAATGAGATAAAACTTAGAGCCCATTTGGTAATACCAAAATAGGTTGAATTGGCTGATTTTGCTGAAATTTATGAAACTCTGGCTGAAATGGCTGCATTGGCTGATTCTGTTGATTTATGAAAAAGTTATATTTATAATATATTTTAGGGAGATTTACATAAATAAGAGTAAATAAATCTTTATTTGTTAAAACAGGACTGAAGTTTAAATATTCCCTATATAGGAGTTATTGTTTCTAGTTTGACAAAAACACCCCTGAAACTTGGAAAAGCTGCCAGCAGTAGTCAGACCCCCACCGGTCTCCAGTTTTCGCCGCCGGTCTCCGATCACCACCGCCGGTCTCCGGTTGCCGATGCCGGTCTCCGGCCGCCGCTACCTCAGAATCCGCTGCCGCTGCAGATCTGGCCGCCGCCATCGCAGATCTGGTCACCGCCGTTGCAGATTTGGCCATCCCCGCCGGAGATCTAGTATCCGACCACCATCGACCGCTGCCGCTACAGATCCGGCCTCCGCCGCTGCACGTTGGGCCTCCGCCACTGCAGATCTGGAAGCCACCATCACTGAAATCAACTTTTATATCAAAATGCCAACCTGAGTCGAGAATGACATTTTAATGACATTTTCAAAGAAAAATATGTCATTTTTGAAGAGTAAAAGGCCATCTTCATGGCAATTTAAAAACAAACTTTGTCATTTTTTTAATCAAGAGATTGCCATCGTTGAATGCAAATGGGCCGAAGGATCTGGAATTTTCAGAATCTCGATGGAACAAAAGAGACGTATTGAGAATTTCAGGTCTAATTGTAATCATCCAACTGATATTTGTAAGAGTATATAGAGGGAGATACTGAGACAGTGATGCACATCACACTTAGAAAACAGGGAGAAAGAGATAGACAAGAGCTAGAGAAGAGGAGTTGAGGAAGAAGGAGAAGGAAGAGATAGTTAGCGGAGAATAACAATCACCAGATCTGAGTCGTGGCTCCTTCGCCGCTCGCCGCCGCTCACCGCCGCTCGTTGTTGCTCGCCGCCGCTGTTGTTCATCGGCGCTCGCCATTGCTCATGCTCCTTCGCCACTGCTTTGGTTCGTCGCCATATATCTACAAGTCCCCTGTTCCAGACTTGCAAACCCGCACATAAGTTTAGAATGGGGGTGGTGTTTGAAGGGCAGAAATTAATTAGAGGGGTAGATGTGGTATAAAGGTCCTATTTTGGGAATAAAAGTGCACATACTCCTATTTTGGAATTTAAGCAACATTTTAGTCCTATTTAGGACAAAAACTCCTATATTTTATGAATAAAATAAAGAAAAAATTATATATAAAATTAGCTAAATTGGTCCTTTATAGTAACTTCAGCCAATACAGTTACAAAACTATTTCCAACCTTACTTTTTCTTATTATTACACAATTCAGTGTTTGAGATTAAAAGTTACGTGTTTGGTAAAAAAACTGACAAATAAGCCCGATAAGCTGAAAACTAGGCTTACCAAAGTGGCTCTTATTGACATTAGGGAGCAGCCTGCTGGTGAAATGATACCCATCTTAATTGCATGGACCCAACTAACTTGCCAGACGCCATTTGGAAAGCCTCATTTGGAAAAGTAAAATGGACCATTTCGGACATTTGGAAAAGTAAAATGGACCATTTCGGACTTCTGGTGGGATCCAGAGCCTCTCCCTTGCTTTAAAGCAAGGCAGAGTGCCCGGTTCTTACGAGCCGTTCGGTCAGGAATTCGACGTCCGAAGATCTTGGGCTCCACCCTTTCGTTAATCTCAAGGTCCTCCTCGTCGCCTCCCTTCCGTCGGATGCCGCAAGGCACTCTGCCTTATGGCAGCGGATCCGGTTCCATTCCGGTGAGCCCTTTAAATCCCACAAACATGGACAATGAAACGTCAATTCAAAAGGGGCAATTCTATACGAGAAAATCGTAAAAATGGTACATGAAGTTGTTTCGACGAGAGTAAATAGTACTTTATCTTGCATTTGAAACTTTAAAGTATATCAACTTGTATTTTTGTAGTCGATCAAGTACATTTCTCTGTTAGAACGTTAAAATAGCTGATCTCGCCAAACTTCATGTTTGTATTATATAGTTGTAGTCTGAGTCATCCCTTCTCTGTGCTTTACATCTTATATTTTTCTCTCGTCAAATCGTTTTCACCTTCACTCATCATCAAAGATACATATTTTTTGTAGTCTGTTCTCCCTTCTTTGTGCTTTACATCTTATATTTTTCCCTTCTACTCTCCCTACTATCCCGCCGACTCCTTTTTGCTCTGTTTTATTTTATTCATCTTCTCTTGATATAATAAAGATGGACTAATAGCAAATAAAAGAAGAAGCCGACAAGATAGCAATGAGAGCTGACGAGAGAGAAGGAGAGCAACATGGGTGGAGCTAGAAGGGGGAGGTCAATCTAGGTATTGGTCCATCCCAAATTAAAAATAATAATAATTTAAAGTAAAAATTTTGTGTAATTTTCTTTGCAAAAAGTTCTTTGTACTAGTCCAGTCCGGCCGGCCTAGTTCTCTGGCCTCGTCTTGAGAAAGCAGACAAGAGAAATATAAGATGAAGAGTGGAGAGAATGGAAAACAAACCTGAGAAATACATGGTCTAAGATAAAGAGCGAAGATGGAAATGAGTGGACTGAAGGAGATTAGAGTTTATAGCTTTATTATTTAATGGCTTAGACTGTAACAATATATTACAAACCTATAGTTTGGTCATATCAACTATTCTAACGTTCTAATCAAGCTAATGTACTTAATAAACCTTAAAAGTGCACGTTCATGTACTACTTCCTCCGTTCTCTTTTAATTGCAACAGTCAACATTTCAGGTTTGCCAACGCACAAGTTTGACCATTAATATCTTTCATTTCTTATTAGTAAAAATTTAAAAAATTCAGATTTTGAAAATTTAGAATGAGAAGAATTAAAAATTTATTTATAAAACTTTAATTTATAATACATTAATAAATAAAATATAGTCAAAATAGAATATGTGAATAGTCCAAAAAGTTCAATTTTGAAATACATGCACTCCCCTTTTTTCGCAGATCAGTAGAAGACCAGTTGTCGGACTGAATTGAAAGCTCCCCTGAGAAGGGGACTAAGAAGTTCTCTAACAAGCAAGTAAGCCTCTCTACCTGGCTCATTCTCTCCAGTTACCTAGCCGTTCTGTCTCTCTGTCTTCTATATTCTACGAATTGCCTCATAGTTTCTTCCCATTGAACTGGAACATGTATTTCTTGAATTGAAATAGGTAGGGGTTTATAGTAATTTAGAAAAGGGGTGGATTGAAGTCAATCCTTCATCGGAAGTCAAACAAGAAAATTCCCTGCCCCGTTCTCTTCATAAGCCAATTCAGCAGTACTTGCTTCATGAACCTTATGGGAAAAAGTGACTAGAAAGTTTGCTTATAGTTGTTTCTTTATGAACCTAATGGAGAAAAAATGCCAGAAAGCTTTAGCTACGATTTACTTCCCTCTTTGAGTGTTTAATCAGATTGTTGCACATGGGAAAGTTTGCCAGAAAGTTTGGTTACAGCTGACTGTGGGTATTGTTCCAAGTCAAGAAGAACTGCCCTCCCAATTTATATTGGCAGTATTCAAGGGAGTAAATAGCAGTTTTCTTGCTATTTCCAGTTGGTAGTAGTAAAGTGTTTGTAGTATACTCATGTTTAGAACTCCATGTCTTTGAACTATCTGATGTGTTCAAAACTAAGTACTCCGTATTTCATATTCTTTGTTTTCTTCAAGTATAACTACAATAGATTTAAGGAACTTCTTTTAAGGTATAGATCAATACTTAAAAGTTTGTTTTTACTACATCAATTTCAACTCAGCAGGTATTGATAGTAGCTCAATTATTATAAGAAAGTTAAGCATTTAGGCACTCAAAGTAAGTATTTACTGGGAAAAAAAATTAAGCACTTAGGCACTCAAAGTAAGCATAAGATAGAGTAGACAATTTTCAAACATATTAAAACCAGAATAAAATTTTAGTTTTTATAAAGAAAATAATAATATAAAATACTTAGTTTTCAATAGTAAATCCCATGTAATATATTATCATATTTGAGCTACTATCAATACTTTAATTTCTATGTTTTTTGTTTTTTTCTTTAACAATTTTTGGATATTCTTTGTCTTTTAAGTATTGATCAATACTTAAAAGTTTGTCATCCTTACTTTCTATGTTTTTGTTTTCTTTCTTTAACTAAAATTTCAGGAAATGATATATTTGAGGTAGTATCATTTTTTTCTTATATGAATTTTGAACATGCATATAATCATTTGAAAATTTGTTGACCCAGTAATCACACCTTCACAAATTGATGGTTCTAAACAGTGATTTCCCTTAAAAGAAAAAAAACTAACTTTCTGGGAAATGCTTTGAGAAGTGTTTCTTATTCTCATATTCCTTTTTTATTCTTTTACAAACAAGTGTACAGAATGACAAGTCATTTAAAGATG